CGGGGGGGGGGGGGTCGGTCGAATAATCGATTATTATTCGCCAGGGCTGCCGAATAATCGATTTTGATCATGGTCAGTTTCTGGCAACCCTAGTAGAGATGGTGATAGGATCAAACCTAAGAGCAACACCTATTAGGGTCAGGGTCGCAAAATGGGGGGTCTAATGGCCCCTTTTCAACTTCATAATTCATCTGCCCTTGCACAAAGACCAAGCTGAAAAACAGTATAATAGGGACCTTTAAGATCTAAATAAAAGCACAACAATCAGTATATATAAAAAACAGTCACTTGAATATCTTTATTTGACCTTTTAAGCTGTACTTTGCTGCAGAGTTTTAGTCTCCTTTTATCTCTCTGAATCCAGTTGTTTGGCTAAGCAGTTTCCCCCTCCGTCCTCAGTGCTTCCCGTCGCGGTGGGTCACTCCATGCTGGTCCCAGGTCAGTCCATCGCCCCGGCGGTGTGCCCCCCCGCCCTGCCGGTCCCCGCTGCAGCGGAGCAGAGGGAGGTGGAGGCGGAGGTGGGCCCCGCCGTCACCATCATGAAGCCCATCCTCAGGTTCCTGCAGCTGCTGTGTGAGAACCACAACCAGGACCTGCAGGTGGGTTCCGCTGAGCACACAATTCACTTCAATTCAAATGTATTTATATAGTCCAATATCACAAAACACATTTGTCTCAGAGGGCTTCACAAATCAACAAACATGAATGATAAAACGTAAAAACAACAAACATATCTGAGAATGTAGTAAAATGACAAGATGATAACAATAAATACTGAAGACGTACCAATAAACCAGGGTGGACCAAATCTGAGTGAACCCATAAATCTGAGTCTGATTTTCAGAACAGAACATTCAGTCTCATCTTGGTTTTCAGTATCTTAGTTTAGTTTAGAAAAACTATAATCCTAGTCTATAGTCCAGAGTTTAAAAATACCTGACCCACATGTCTCAAACTCCCTAATTTGCAATTTTTACCTTTTTTTTTTAAATCCTGGACACAAATAGAATTTTGCAAAAACAGCCTTTTTAAATTTCAGTTTTCAGGATCGAAAAAATTTCATGTTTTTTTTTCTTAACAATGCACAAACCGCCTCTAGTTTTATTAAACTGATTAAAAATGAAGGCTTATGGCAACCTCTCTTTAATTTTTATTTTGTGTTAGCGTGAAAAGTCTAAATGTTAACGTAGATTTAAAGTGACTGTCATTCAGGAAATGGTCCGAGTCTCATTAAAGTGAGATTCATTCTTGTTGCAGATTAATGAGGCCTTATCAATCTCTTACTTTGTTACTGAAATACTGCTGTGACACACAAACAGAGGCTGACCAGATAAGGAGAGAGTGATCTTGAATGTGTTTGCAGAACTTCCTGCGCTGCCAGAACAATAAGACCAACTACAACCTGGTGTGTGAGACCCTTCAGTTCCTGGACATCATGTGTGGAAGCACCACCGGGGGCCTTGGGCTGCTCGGGCTCTACATCAACGAATCAAACGTCCACCTGATCACTCAGACCCTGGAGACCCTCACTGAGTACTGCCAGGGCCCCTGCCAGGAGAACCAGGTACGCTCAGACATCACAGAGATCTTTTTAATAGGGCTTTTCATTTCATTAGGATCACTGTAGATGTTTTATCTTATTCTGTATTTATTTTAATAATGTTTTCATGTTTTCTGTACAGCACTTTGGGCTGCTTTGTGCACAAAAGGTGCTATACAAATAAAGTGTATTATCACAGAGACGGTTATCAAGGCAGGTATACTCCCTTTGAACATGGACACTCTGTGTGTGTGTGTGTGTGTGTGTGTGTGTGTGTGTGTGTGTGTGTGTGTGTGTGTGTGTGTGCAGACGTGCATCGTGACCCACGAGTCCAACGGCATCGACATCATCACGGCTCTGATCCTGAACGACATCAGTCCTCTGTGTCGGTACCGGATGGAGATGGTGCTCCAGCTGAAGGTGTGTTAGTTTACCTGTCCATGTGCACACTGTGTTTTCTGTCTCTTATCGTGATGAACCTGCAAAAATAAATCACTCTGATTGGCTGTTCAGATTAGCGAATCAGTGCATGAGAAGCAAAACGGAAGTGAAGAAGGCACGCACAGACGGCTATTATTTTTCATTTTCCAGTACCGCACTAAACATGTTTTCAATTATGAGTCGTTAACAGTCTGTGATGGACGAGAGTGAAAATGGAACGCACGCTATTTGTTGTTTGTATATATCACGCAGTCTGTCTTCCGGTTGCCTCTTTTGAATGATGAATACACACTACCGCCGCCTGCTGGTAAGGAGAGTTATTGCCACTCACGCATGCGCAGTGCGTACGTGCTACTTGCCCGTCGGCTGAAGTCTTTGCGGTGTGTGTTCCAGTGCGAGTTTTTGGCCAAAACGAGACGTGAGGCGACACAGGGCCTGGTGTGTCAGGGCCTTTAGTTTATCTGGCCCACAACTTTATTCCTGGTTCACTCCCAACACTTTCGCCATGTTTTTCCGAACGCTTGCCATTTTAACTTTAATCACAGCAACATGTTAATGTAGTCATTTATTGTTCCTTTACCTGGTGGTTCATATGTGACCAATACGAGGTCTGCACTTCATCCTGTCGTCATGGTGACACCTGTCGTTTAACTGTTTCATTTCCCTGTTTCCAGGACAACGCCTCCAAGCTGCTGTTGGCTCTGATGGAGAGTCGCCATGACAGCGAGAACGCAGAGAGGATCCTGTTCAACCTCCGACCCCGAGAGCTGGTGCCATTATTTACACTAACTTTATTTAAAGAAGACGTTACTGATCTGTGTTCAGATATAATATATATATATATATATATATATGTGTGTGTGTGTGTGTGCAGGTGGAGGAGATAAAGAAGGCCTACCATCAGGAGAGCGAGTATGAGGGGGAGGACGTCTCCCCCCGTGAGGTCGGACACAACATCTACATCCTGGCTCAGCAGGTGACTAAACACAAGCTCCTGATTGGCTGAATCCCACTCCCCTCAGTCCGTGGGTCTGTCGTGTTTCTGTTGGGAGATCCAGAAGTTAGCATCTCCCTGGATTCCCAATGAAAAAGCGAAAACATACCTTTGGCGACTACATATTGATACAAACACATTTATTACAAAAAAAAATAAAACATTTCAGTTTCAGCCCTTAATAGAGGGGTACACAATTATAATACAACTACATAAGCAAATACTAAAGGTATACTTCACATAAAGCCAGAAAATTGATATCATTATAAAGAATCACAGTTTGATAGCTCTGACTGATCCATGCCGTGTTCGAGGTAATATCCTATCCAATATAATACAAATAATAAACAGAGTTTTTAAAATCAGACAAACATACAAAGACAAATCTAAGATACAGTAACTAACACAAACAGAAAGTAGTACAACATCAATAAAATAAAAGGCAATTCTAAAATAATTGTGTTTTGAGGTATGACATGCTCCTCCTATCTTCTCAGCTGTAGGAAAATAAACGGCGTTTGTAATTCTCTGATTAAGTTTTCTCTCTTGTTGTTTGTTTGTTTGTGTGTTTGTTTGTTTTTGTGTTTGCAGCTGGCGAGACACAACAAGATGCTGCAGAACCTCCTGAAACCTCAGAAGAACAGCAAAGAGGGCGAGGAGGGGATCTCCTCCATGGTAAACCCCCGCCCTTCTACATCTGCAGCGATGATGCAGTACTAATACTCACTTTATAATACTCTTTGTGTTTCCCGCCTGCAGCTCAACCTGAACAACCGTCCTCTGTCCCAGATGTTGAAGTCCACCGCTCCAGCTGTTGTGGTGGAGCAGGATCCGCTGGAGTACTACGACATGCTCACCTCACAGATAGAGGTACCGTAATAAAATGAAATAAGATCAACCTTTGTTAATCCATGGTGGGAAATGCAGGTGTCAGAGCAGCAACAGCAATAAGAGAGAAACCGTATCGCTGTTAGGACTGGTGAGAGGTTGCATACGTTTAAAAAATAAATAATAATTATCATTATAAATACAAATAACAAGAATAGCAGTAGGTAGAACTCACAGTATTTAAGTTGACTTCTAAAAGAATATGAATGAAGGTTATTATGCATATGAATAAATATATTTATAAATAGATATCTACCTGCAAGTGCCAATCCAAAACTGTGAATGCTCTACTGCAACTAATACTAATTAAAGTAATAGAAGACGGATAGAGTCCAATTAAAAGGGGATGTCGATAATTAAAGGCAAAGGAAAAAAATTACAAAATGTTTTTCAGTTTCAGCTGTCGTTTAAAATGTCCATGAGTTCGCCTCTCTAATATTTCCAGGCAGGTTGTTATAGAGTTTAGGATGAAACCTGCTTCAGCCGTTTAATTTCCAGGGACTATTTAAGAAGCCTTCAGCTCGTCCTGTTGATGCTCTGTATACATAATAATATAACGTAATATGTCCTCCGCTCCAGATCGTGCGGGACGACCGCAGCATGGAGCAGATCGTGTTCCCGGTCCATCCCATCTGTGAGTTTCTGACCGAGGAGTCAAAGATCCGAGTGTTCAACACCACGGAGCAGGACGAGCAGGGGTCAAAGGTCACAAACTTCTTCGAACAAACCTCCTTCCTGCACGGAGAGATGGAGTGGCAGAAGAAGCTGAGGAGTGAGTATATACACACACACACACACACACACACACACACACACACACACACACACACACACACACACACACACACACACACACACACACACACACACACAGATGTTATATATATCTCACACTCTCTAATCAGCTGATCTGTTTCCTGTAGATCAATAAGCTCCGCCCCGGGCTCCGCCCACAGGAAGAGGTCAGTGTCAGTTTATTATTGTGTTTAATGTTTGTTTTGATTTGTGTTGCTGGATTGACTCAAACTGATATGCCTACACTTGAGAATGTTCTAGGTTCAAGGTTCTAGGTTCAAGGTTCTAGTTTCTAGGTTCAAGGTTCAAGGTTCTAGGTTCAAGGTTCTAGGTTCAAGGTTCTAGGTTCAAGGTTCTAGGTTCTAGGTTCAAGGTTCTAGGTTCAAGG